CTGCCCCCCGCCCCCCGCACCTCGAACGCGAACGGTAAGGGGAGGCAGAGAAAATTGGCCGTCCGTATTATGGCCCACATTGGCGGCACCTCTCGCATCGCAGCAAAGCTCTCAACTAAAACTCATTATCGGCTCAAAATCACGTTTACGAATTAGTCTGGCGCCGTCGTTGGGGGTGCTGCCCGGCACTGGTTTCAGGAACCCCGTCGCCGCCCCCGTTGCAGGCGGCAGCTGGGGGGCCACCCTTTGGGCGGCAGCCAATGGCGTTGCTATTGGCGCGGAAGAAGCGAGGTGGGGAGGCGCGCCGGACCATGAGGGGGGACGGGGGCACCTGCTGGCCGAGGCACTGGCTTATTTAGGGCGCAAAAATGAAGAGGGGCCGTCGCAATCGACTGGAGAAGAGAGGGGGAGCGGTCCAGGGGATGAGAGAGAAAGGTGAGGGTGGGGGTAGGGGAGGGGTGCGAGAAGAGAGATAGGGTGAGGCGTCGTATCAAGAAAGAGCCGGAGCCGGTCCAAGACGAGGTCCTGGAGGTCCTGCTGCTAGAGGATGACGGAGGGGAGCCTGATGGTCTCATTCGGAGGGCTAATGCGATTACCAGTGGTTTCATTAGGTTGTATTGGCAGCCGCAGCAACGTTGGGGAAGGAAAGGGGCGTGGCGGGGCGGGGCGGGGCGTGGCGGGGCGCAACGCGGGGGGGACAACAACAGCCTCAGGCAGCCCCGGCCCCTTTCCTCCTAGGGGACACGGGACGCCTGACTGGCGCTTGGTGACTGGCGGTCCTGGTGGTGCCGTTGCCGTTGTTGCCCCTTCCGTTGCCGTGGCCGCCGTCGTCGTTTCCGTTGCCATTTGCCACGCTGCGCTGCGATTGACCAGCTCGACGTTAATTTGATTGCGCTGCGTCATTTCACGGGCAATCGTCGTCGTCGTCCTTCTGCGTCTCTTCCGGCCACACAGGGAAACGTGGAAAAAAGAACTTGATGGTCAGAAAATAATTTCGCCCACCCTGTGCTAAAGAGAGCGAGGAGAGCGAGGGGGGGGGGTTGAACTTAGCCTTGTGGAAGAGACAGTCTTGGGCACTATCTGGAAATAAAATACAAGGTTCGGAAAAGGAGAAAGATGAAAGATGCAAGGACTCGGACGATGCCACAGTCCGCGTCGCGGCCGTCGCGGCGGACCAAGGCGACTGGCGACTCTCTCGCCTAGCTCCTTGCGACTCGACTCCTTGCTGCCCAAACGCTTTCTGATGTTTATTCATAAGCAAAATGCATATTGCGCGCCGCCCTGAAAAAAA